GTGCTGACCTGTGGCCGCGGAGAGGCCGGGGCCGCAGCCCCGCGGGGTGCCCAGCCCCGCGGAGAGGCGCTCTGTCTGTCCTGCTTTACCGAATTGCATCAGGCAGGAGGAGCAGGGAACTGCGTTTTTCCGTCACCAGGTTTGAGGACTTCGGTTAATGGGCCAGGCTGCCTGGCGTTGGGGGCTATTTATGATTCCCCCTTCCCCCTATAAGTATCTGAGGATTTACTGTGAGCGCCTAGGATGCAGATGTATGCAGAGTAGTATTTGGGGTCAACAATAAGGTATTTCCCAAACACTTAAAAAGATTGCCCTGGAAGAATTCTATTTTAGGTCAATGCAGAGTGGATCAAACCAGAAATAAGCCCCGCCGACCTGAGCAAGCCTTCGCTCCAAGAAATCGGGAAGTGAGCCAAGAAGAGCCTGGGAAGTAAATATTTGGCAGGGGCCTTGTCTAAAGGGGAAAGTCTCCTGGGCAGGTGCAAAATCTATCTTGGTTCTGGCCGTGGAGATAGTTTCAGCTCTCTGTCAAAGCTTGGTGTACTTGCATTCAATATTTAAATCATACCACCAAACCTTTTATTCTAGCCTATTCCAAATATATTTCTGAATATTGTTTTAATTCCCGTATAGTTTTTCTCTAAGGAGAGAACGTCCTGGCCAAATGAAGTGAATAGCCATTTTCCTTGACAGTTATATTTTTCACTGTAAATTAACACATTGGTATTTTTCTTTTTCTACACAAGCCTATGATGAACATGATTCAGCATCTCTGGTCCTGGAACACAAAGGACAGACCCTGAACTGAGTGAATTACAAAGAAACGTCTCTCTGAGGCCTCTTGGCCAGCCAGCTTTCTAACACCCAACTTTGCAATACCCACCTTTCTACAGAAAGGAATTTCTACATACAGATCAAGAACCAAATCGTTGAAGATGAGGGGACTTTGGTAACCTATTTTTATTAGTAAAACCCTTAAAGTAAAAAGATTTTTTTTTTTTTTTTTAGTACAGCAAAGAGGGCAGAGCAAGGCAGACTGCATTCCACTCTTGGGAGAAGAACCTCAGGGAGGGAGGTGGGTGGGTTATGGCATTTAAAAAAAAAAAAGAAAAGCAAGTTTCTGTTTTGCCCCTGAAGGAAAGGAACATGGCCTAACTCTGAAGATCAGTAATGGGCATTAAAATGATTTCCCAGCAATTAACAGGACAGTTGAAAAAGAGAAACGACCCAAGGGGAAGATTTGGGGAATGTCTATTATGGGGTTAAAGGAAGGAAAGAGTCTGAACAAGGATGGAGAGCTTTAAGAAAGGGTTAATAAACTACAGCCAGCAATGCTGGCTCAGGGGAAGGGTTTAAGAAAAGGCCTTTGCATTCCTCAATTAGAAGGGTGTTAGTTATTTTGTTTGGCTGTTTTCTTAGGGTATTTATTTATTTATTTATATTTTCCTTGTATTTTAAATTTGGGACAGACAATACATTTTCATAGTTCCAAAATCAAAAGATATAAGAGGATATACTTCACTATTGTACTAGACATCTCAGTGACTGCAAAAATGCAAGGAAAAAATGTATAAGGATTGGAAAGAAATAAAAGTTATTTGGAGAAATCACGATAGTCTGTATTTAAAATTATAACCTANGTAAGGATTGGAAAGAAAAAGTTATTTGGAGAAATCACGATAGTCTGTATTTAAAATTATAACCTATAAACTATTAATAAGTGAATTTAGCAAGTTGCTGGATATAGTCAGCATATAAAGATCAATTATATTTTTATGTACTAGCACTAAACAATTAGGAAATGAATTTTTTTAAAAACTATAAAAATGTGAAATACCTAGCATATTAATGTCCTATGGCTGCTATAATAGATTACCACAAACTTGGTGGCTTAAAACAAATTTATTCTCAAAAGTTCTTGAGACCAGAAGTCCAGAATCACAGTGTCAGGGTCATATTCCCTCTAGAGGCTCTAGGAGAGAATCTGTCCATTGCCTTTTCCTGTTTCTGGTGTCTGCTGGCATTCCGTGGCTTGAAGCCACATCACTCTAATCTCTGCCTCCATCTTCACATTACCTTCTCTGTGAGTCTCAAATTTCCCTCTTCCTCTATCATACAAGGACACTAATGGCATTTAGGGCCCTCCTGAATAATCCAGGACTATCACCTTGTTTCAAGATTCATAACTTAATCATATCTGCAGAGACCTTTTTTTCCAGATAAGGAAACATTTACAGGTTCCAGAGATTAGGACCTAACATCTTCGGGGCATCATCCAGCCCTTTGCACCCAGGAATAAATTTTAATGAAAGGTGTGTAGCCTAAGAACTCTATACTGAATATTTGTTATTCAGAGAAATAAGAGAAGACCCAAGTAACTGGACAGGTGTACTGCGGTCATAGATCAGAAGACAATAATGTAAAAATGTCAGTTCTCCCTGAATTGGTCTGTAGATTTAGTCTAATCCCTATTAGAATCGCAGCAGGTGTTGTGTTTGTGTAAATTTACAAGCTGATTCTAAAATTTATATGGAAATTTCAGAAGACCAAGAATAGCCAATACAATCTGGGAGAGGAAAAAGATTGGAGGATTTATACTACCAGATATTAGTAGACCACTGGAGCCCTGGCTGGTGTGGCTCAGTTGAGTGTCACCCCATATACCAAAAGGTCACGGGTTCCATTCCTGGTCAGGGCACATGCCCAGATTGTGGGCTCCATCCCTGGTCAGTCAGGGTGAGGGAGGGAGGCAACTGATTCATGTTTCTCACATCGATGTTCTTTTCTCCTCTCTCAAAAAATTAATTTAAAAAACAACAACACGAAAGTAGACTAGTGGAACTGAATAGAGTTCCCAAACAGATGCTTATGTGAACATTTTATATATGCAAAGGTGACACTGTAGTGATGGGTAGAAAAAACTGGACGTTTTAATAGATGGGGTTGGGTCAGTTGAATATCCATGTGGAAAACAAACCTTGATGCCTACTCATGTTATCTTTATAACTTTGGTAGTCAAATATTAAACGACATGAAAAGCTCAAGTTATAAAGGAAAATATTGAACATTCCAAGTACAGAAAATAGTACAAAAGACACAAAGTATCTTGAATTTTGTTATGTCAGGAAACTACAGATAGATTTGTATTCCTGGAGCACGAAGTCAATCCAGAATGAGGCTGCAGAGGTAGGCAGGGCTGAACTACATAAAGCCCTTTATAGCATTGAAAAGGTTAAGCAATTTATAGATAACGGAAAAGGACCAGAGGGATCTAAGCAAGAGTGTGATTTGGTTCAAATGGTATTTTAGATGGAAATTGAGTTTGGCAAAGAAACCAACTGGCAGTGGTAGCAAGGATAGAAGCAGGGACAGAGGTAAACATTTAGTAGGTAAAGTTAGCAAAATTTGGGGGTTGATTGAATATGGACAGGAGAAGGGAAGGGGGGAGTCTAAACTGGTGCCAGGATTTTGCCTCGGGTGTGTGGGTGGATGATCGTGTCAACAACTGAGGTGGTAAGTCCTGAAGACTTACCAATTTGAGGGACAAGGAGGTTGAATTCATTTCTAGGTACATTAGATTCTCCATAGAGAGAGATCCAGCGTTTGACTGGATATATAATTAAGAACAGGACTGGAGAAAGGAGTTTGTTACCAATTGATTGTAGCTGACTAAGGTCATGAGACCTAACTAGATCACACAGGAAAAGCATATAAAATGAGAAATACAATGAGCTGAGAATGAAAAGCAGAGGAACACCAACACTGAAAGGCCACAAAGAAAAGAAATTCATAAAAGACAGAAAACTAGGAGAGTAACATACTGAAACCAAAAGAGAGATCCAAACAGAAACAAGATCACTGGGGAAGCAGAGAAGTCCAGTGAGGAAAGGCTCGCATGGGTACAGTGCTTAGGCAAGTAAGAGGTCGTGAATGGTCTTGGTGAGAGCAGTTTTACCGGGATGATGGACTGAGAAGTGAGGAAATAAGGAAATGGGAATAACCAATGTGAACCTCCTCCAGAAGAGCATCCGTGTGGATGAAACAGCAAATAAAACAAGGGACTACATTTAGTGTCTTAAAGCAAAAAATTATAGAGCTCTAGGCAAAAATATGTATATAGGTAACATTTAAAAAATTGAAATACCAGATGCTGTTTCCCCTTAGTATCAGATGGACATTTAAAGCTGCAACATCATGCTAAGGAAAGGAGACAGTAAGTCATCCGGATCCCTGCACATAGTAGGGACTGTGGGCCCTGAAAAAGAAGATACCCACCGAGAAAGGCTCCTAGTGGTTTACCTGGGCTCAGATGAAAATAACACAGCGTAGTAACCATTTCTACGCAGAGGCCTTACACAAACGGCACCTACGGGAGAAGCCCGCACCGAGCTGCTGGCCCGCGGTCCTGCCGGCGGAGCCAGCCCGCACTGGGGAGCGCCTGGAACCCTTCAACCAATAGGACCGAGGCTTTCCCCGTCCAATTGGAGCTGTGCAGCTACATCATCATTAGCGTCTACGCTGACCAATCAGCAGCTCCATCCTGACCAGTCAGACAGGGCCTTTTGGACCAATCAAACTGCGAGGACTTGGTGCTTATTTGCATGAAGAAGGACCAACCAGGGGCCAGGGGCGGGGGACCTCTGTCTGTACCAGGCCGCTCCGCGCTGGCTGGAACGCGTTTTCCTCTCCGCAGAAGACTCCTTTTCGCTGGCTGGAGCCGAAACCCCAAGGATGTCCCCCTGGTGCAGAGCAGAGCTGCCCAGCTGGAGAAGTGGCCTGGCCCCAGGGCCTTCCAGCAGCAGTGCTGTGTCACAGTCGAGCTGTTCCACAGCGTGCTGTGTCACAGAGGAGCTGTTTGCACTGAATAAAAGTCCCTTCATCCCACCCCAAATTAGGGATTCCTTTCGGTGTCGAATTGATGCCAGCAACCTTCCCACTGACAGTGCTTAATAACTATTTGAACAAAAATTTCTGACTTCTGTGTTTAAGTTTTCAAGAGTTTTTTTCTGCGTTAAAATATTTTCCATCTTTTTTAACGTTACTAGTGTGATTAGTTTTTAGTCTTTAATACCAACACACACCCACACAATGAACTATATATAAGTAACCTTTTGAAAAAGAGTGAAGCATATCCACTTATGTCAATATAGAACAATCTTGATATTTTAAGGGGAAAAAAATCCATGTGCAAATAGTTAATTCAGCATTCATGTATATTGTGTGTGGGTGTGTTGTGTCTTAGTCTGCTCAGGCTGCTATAACAAAGTACCACGGACTAGGTGGCTATTAGCAGCAGAAATTTATTGCTCAGTTGTGGAGGCTGGAAGTCCAAGATCATGGTTGGGTGAGAGCCCTCTTCCAGGTTGCAGACTTTTCCTCTAACTTCACATGGTGGAAGGGGCTAGGTATCTCTTGGCAACAATTGGACATGGTTACTAAATCGAGCCAACAGTATCCTCTGGGCCTTTCTTACATGTTATAGTTTAGCCTGGTCTCTCCTCACTTAGACTGCTATAGATTTCTTATGTCCCCTTTCTTCCCTCTCCTGAGTAAATGAGTGTACATGTATTACCATTTCATTTCACCTGGTTGTTTTAGCTTACCTGGACATTCTGAGAACTTTTTGAATTCTACCTTTCTTACTCAACATGTTATATGATGCAGTTGTGGGCATTTGCACCTGTGATAGATGGCCCAGATGCAGTAAATGGAAGGGAGTTTCTGGCAAGAGCGGAATGTACAAAAGCCTGGAACCTTAATCTTCAGGTTAGTCTATTCCCTGTTTTCTGTATTTTTTTAATGTCTGCCTTTCTATTTGGCTCCTTCTTGATGGCCTATAAACATCTTAATGTTTCTTACATTCAAAAACAATGCAAAAAGTAATCCTTCCTTCAATATTGTGTCCTCAAGCTACTTGTCTTCTTCTTGTAGTCACTCTCTTTGAAAGAATATAGGGTCTACCTCAAGTCCCATACCTCCCATTTCATCTTTAACCCAGTAGAAGAACCAGTGGAGATTCTGGAAGGTGAATAGTAATGGGAAAACAAAAATTCATAATGCTTGGGTTCAAGTGAAAGTCCTTTTAACCTTGGGGGTGAACAAAGAAGAAAGACTTTTGAGTAGCTTCCAGATATGTTCCATGCAGTAGGGATAAAGAAAGGGTTTTTTTTTATGAAGTTTAAAGTTTTTCTCTTTGGGGATTTTGATCAGAGGGTATAGCAAAGATTTGAATTTCTATTTTACTTACTTCAGGTTGCTGGATTTGTGATTTTTTTTTTTTTTTTTTTTAATGCCAGGACTGAATTACAAGTCTGAGTTGTATTATGTGGATTATATTTAACTTTTAAGTTACTAAATGCAATTATGTTTTAAAAAATTACAGTATTCCATATACTATGATATTTTAAGGTACCAGAAGTCCAGTATTTTTTGTTGGAATAAAACCATTCTTAAAAATTCTGAAATTTGAATCACTGATATATTATACTGCATTACAATTTCTAATCAAGCTGTGTTTTACTTGTGTAGATAAAATTCCTCTATGTCTCCATAATTCCTGAGAGGAAGAGTAAAGGACAACTGAAAAGAAAAGCTACTATTGGTAGAATAATACTTGAGTTCCAGAGACTTCTGAACAAATAAGATAAGCCAGTATTTAAACTAATTCAAGAAACTTTTTGCATTGGAATCCCATCATGAAAATAAAGAAGCCAAAGGAGTACTGGAAATATTTCTGTTGAAGGAATAACAACAGCTTGCTGTCAATAAAAAGATTGCAACCCATGGAAGAAATAGTTATTAAAAATACCTTGAAATGAGTATGCATGTGTGCATGCAAAAAAAAAGCAGAGACCATTTGAATACAGTGTAAGGAGAAAATATCTGGAGTTATCTAATAACCATGATTCCCTCTTCCAGCCATTGTAGAGAGAATTCGTGTTTCAGCAGCTGGAAAAATGTGCACAAGAGTAAGTTCACTATCTAATAATGACTAATAGACACAGTTAAAGAAACATCTTTTTAAAAAATGTGTCATATTTCATCTTCTATTTGTCATGATTAATTACATTTGCTTCACTTCATGTAGTGTTTAGCTAAGTTTGTTTGTATTGCTTTATTCATTTTATCTGCCAACAACTGATATTAGACTGATGATTTATATTTAATGTTTAAATTTTTATAATTTTCCATTTTACTTAATGCATACTTTTTAAAAATTGTTGACAGTATTACAGATGCTTCCATTTCCTCCCTCCCCGCCCTTTATCCCCCCTCCACCCAGCCTCCTACCCACCATAGGCCTTCACCACACTATTGTCTGTGTCATGGGCTGTGCATATATACATATATGCTCTTTGGTTAATATATTCTAGTCCCCCCACCTCCTCCCCTCTGAGACCTATCAGTCTGTTCCGTGCATCCATGCCTCTGAACCTATTTTGTTCATTAGATTCCACATATAAGTGATGTCATGTGATATTTGTCTTTCTCTGCCTGCCTTATTTTGCTTAGCACAACAATCTCCATGTCCATCCATGCTGTTGCAAAGGGTAGGAGAGCCTTCATTTTTACAGCCGCATAGTATTCCATTGTGTAAATGTACCACAGCTTTTTTATCCACTCACATTTTTATTTTATGAATTATAAAGCTTCAAAAAAGAAAATGCTAGTATTTTAGTTAGTATTTGAATCAAATACCCCAATTCTGATATCCATATCCTCTGGTATTGCAGTGATTTAAAAAAAAAAAATTATCTTTATTGTTGAAAGTATTACAGATATCCCCTTTTTCTCCCCATTGACCCCCTTCTACCCTGCACCCACCCCCCGCTCCAGGCCTTCACTACATTGTTGTCTGTGTCCATGGGTTATGCATATATGCATATAAAGTCTTTGGTTAATCTCTCCCCACCCACCC